GTTACTCGGCGCAAATAGCTGGATCAATTGGGTTGACCAAGTTCTACCACCGCAACGGGAGTTCTTCTACGTTGGCGGGGAGTATCAGAATCTGTCAGTAAGTCACGCGACACTCACGGTCGCGCTTTTCCCACCCAAGTACGTATACTACACCCAGAAGAGATACGCTGCATTTTACTCCGACTTACTGCAAGACATAATTTCGTGTATAACTTCGGGGTGCAGTATCCTGTCTTCCTGAATTCTCCGTAAATGCTGACTGTATAGATAGGAAGCACGACTGCGCAATACATGGTCAATCAGATCTATGTCGAGAAGCTCACCCCGGCAAAGCCAACCCAAGACTATCCCCTCGTGTTCATGCACGGAACTGGTCAGACTGGAACAACCTTTCTCGATACACCAGATGGTCGGCCAGGCTGGGCTTCGTTCTTCTTATCGCACGGCTATACTGTCTACCTGAGCGATCAGCCATCGCGCGGTCGTTCTCCCTGGTTGCCGAATACAGGCACGATGAAAAGCTCCAGTACGGCGCTCATCGAGCAACTGTTCACTTCAACCTCATCGCATAGCCTCTGGCCGCAAGCACAGTCGCACACCCAATGGCCTGGAACAGGGAAAGCAGGCGATCCGACATTTGACGCCTTCTATGCGTCTCAGGTTCCATACCAAGCCGACAATCTGATATCCGAAGCCGAGAACGCCAAAGCGTACACAGCTCTTCTCGACAAGATCGGCGGCCCGTCGCACATCATCTCGCATAGCCAGGCCGGTGCCTATGGATGGCGTGTCGGAGACCTCCGCCCTCATCTCGTCAAGAGCATCGTGGCCCTCGAACCGGCGGGCCCTCCATTCATCGGAAGGATTTTTGGATCAGGTCCTGCGCGACCTTTCGGCATCACAGAGCTAGAAGTTGCTTACGAACCGTCCGCAGGGCCCAACGCGACGTACATCCAAACTGTTGTTGTCCCTGCAAAAGACGCTAATTCGAGTGAATGTATCATGCAGGATGAACCGGCGAAGCAGTTGGTGAATTTGGCGCAGATACCGGTGCTGACAGTGACGTCAGAGGCGAGCTACCATGCTGTGTACGATCATTGCACGGTGGAGTACATGCGACAGGCAGGTGTGGACGTGGAGCACATGAAGTTGAGGAACGAGGGTTTTCATGGCAATGGACATATGTTCTTTATGGAGAAGAACAGTCTAGTGATCGCTGAGAAGGTTTTGGCTTGGTTGCAGAGGCACTGAGCTGAGGGAAGAAGCGTGCAGCCCACATTGACGTTGGACCACCTACTTTATATGTATTAATCCTGACGTAGACTGTAAACCTGTCTAGACTTTATTTTGTATGGGGTGCGAACGTAGAACACGTGAACACCTGCAGCATGTGGTTTCGAGCACGTTTCGTGTGATGGGAAGGAACAGAGTGCGGTGGCTGGGAGATGATCGACCAGATGACGGCTAGCGCACCCCAGAAGAGACTAGTCTCCGCAGCCCCTTCCCTTCCCCATTCAGATGTCGCACCTTCTCACCTCCTCAACATCCATCACACGATAACCCCAGTCGCACAACGCGTTTTCTTTCTGTCTATTCGCGTTCGGTCTGCCGCATATTTAGATCTTCATCATATCAGCACGTATGCGCAATCTGCCTCCAAATGGAACTCGAACAATGGTCCCGCCCCAACTCATGCTAGCCTGGCCACTCACAGCCGCCGCAAAGCAAGTGCTACCGGAACAAGGACATGGTCGCGAATGATACGCATTCTGGCTACGAGCACCGTCGCTCGAATCCGAGCTTACACACAAATCTCATCGAGCATGACCCATGGTAGATTGAATGCTAATCTTTGCTAATCATTTTCCCACTACAAAGATATGCTAGGGACTCACTAACCTTTATCCTATCTTCGACTCTGCCAGAACCTGTCGACACATGAATATCAGCAACCCCATGGCAACGTTCCGCCGGTGGTGGCGCATGGAGCCAAGGCAGCCTTTGCAAAACCATGGACAAGTGCAGCTACGCAACCCTGCACCGCAGCACGCTTTTGTTCCTCGACCGATGAGCATGACATCAATCCTTTCGGATTCCTCCAACGACGAAGACCCGCCGCCCTATGAACAAATCCAGCCCATCCTTTCCGAAGCGCTATTCAATCTATGCGAGCACAAGGCCTTCACTATGACTCATCTGCGTAGCCTTCATAGCAAATACGGACCTTGGCTATGTCGATGTAGCCGCCACAGTTACGCAAAGCAGGGCGTAATGCCTCCCTACATCGAAGTAGAACAGGGCTCCAACCGTGCAAAAGCCGTATCGCATTTCCTTCTCTTGTATCGCCCCGAGGGCGTTCTGTTGTCTCTACAAGACGTGCAGGAGGCACTCACTGCCTGGAACAGGCCTGTCTGCGCACACCTCAAGATCAACGACATACACGTCTTCTCATCGTTGACGAAGCATTTACATCTTCCTACCGAATGCTTTCGAAGAGATCTCAACATGGATGGTGAACATGAAAGGCGAGGCAGCGAAAATATTTTGCAAACCAAGAGTATAGATCTACTGAGGGAGGCAGAAGGGCATTGTGGTGAGCTGCATTGCGACACGTACTTCGGGTTGGAATGGATTCGTGACGGTGGTGGGATTGGGTTTTGGGTAATTCGACGCTTGGGAACCATATGATCATCTAGCGCTGGAGAGCTCGACCTGTGAGTCGCACGCTTAGCTCAAACTTCAGCCTGGCAACTACAACGCGCAAGCTGAAGTCACTGGAAGCTATTTTGGCCTACGTAGCCGCCACGCGCATCACCAGCGGTCACGACAGCGTTCGACCCACGCACACAAGACTCGCAAGAATACCCCCATTCCAGTCATTATACCGTTATAATTCGAGGCCGACGCGATCAGCCTTCCACACTCCCTGGCGCAGGTCGACTGGGTCTATTTCCAAAACTACGTCAAGGAGCAGACATATTGAAAGAACTGCATACAGAAATTACCAAATCCAACCCAGGCGTATACGTAGCCACCGCCAGCACACTTTCTTCCAGTGTGAAGTACTCGAATGCGGTATATAAGCTCTCGAATCCACGCTCTTTTGCTTCTCCACAACTACCACTACCACTACTACATCAAGCAATACTACCAAAACCACACTACCAGTTTCAAAAGCCTACCAAGTTTCTCAACAAATCCCCTCCCAATTCAACTACCACTTCCGCATACCACCGTACTCAAAAGAACCCTTCCTCGAACCACAAAACATCACCATGTGCACCTACGAACCAGTGTTATACATGGGCTGTGGCCATTCCAAGAACGAGTTCGTCAAATCCTGCCTAGGAAAGAGAAACGGATTCGCGTGCTCAGAGCCAAATTTTCTTAGGGCGAGAAGGAGCACGGGGAAGTGCAATAACCCCTGCAGATGATTCAGGAGAGAGCGATGAGGAGAGGTGGATAGCGAGATGGAAAGTCGATTTGTACGATGTATGAGATAGGAAATGAGATAGTGGATGGATGAATGAATGAATGAATGAATGAAGGAATTGATGAATCGTGTATGATCTGCTTTCGCTATGGTTTGCTGTGATGATTGCCCGTATTCAGGGTATGATATTGGTATATGTGAGTAATAAGGGTACAGTGAAGCCCACCCTGAGATAAAGGTCCTGGCAGAGTACATGACTCAGGTTGGAGCGTTTACTCTAGGTTGCAAGTCCACGTATCCTCCAGGAATAAGTCTTAAATTTGGGAATACGGTGTCGCTGCGGTCGCCACTTGATCAAACCGAGCGTTCTGATCGTGCGTTCTCAGGAATAGTCACAATATGTCAACATATCCACGTTTGATGCTTCAATTATCAACGATCATGAAGACACGATCAACCATTCGTGGAGCTGCATTCCAACGAACATCTCCCTGTGACAGCGGCATGAATGTATAAAGCCTTCGAATTCCTTTTTTGATACACAAATCATACATACAGCAAAACATCAACCTCCATCGTACCAACCATCCATTATCAGCAGCACAATATCCAACACACCCCCAAGCACACCATACATCAAATCCAAAGCCTCACACACCATCCCCCCAACTCCTCTAAAACCATCATGTGCCGAGTCCACAAAGTCATCTTCAACGGTTGCGAGTACAAGTGCGAAGGCTCACGTACAATCATCACATGCCCGACCCGCTGCCCAGGGCATGCTTGTATAAACTGGACGAAGTCGGGCAAGGAAATTATTTAAGTAAGGGCTCTTCCGCTTTGAAGAATCGTCTGTGCGAGACAGGAGCTGACCTGGTAACAATCGTTAGGTTGTCGATAAATGCTCAGGTCATGGCGGGCCGGTAGAGATCACGGAGGAGGTTGAGAAGAAGTGAGGCAAGTCTGATCGGTGGTTGGAGTGGAAGAGTTAGGTGGGAGAGGTGATTGAGCGGGATGGGTGAAATGAGAGAGATGGATGGATGGGATCTGTTACGAGCGATGTTCAGCTGTTGAGTGTGCAGCGTAGTCAGAATGGAATATGCCAGTTGTATTCGACCGCCGATGTGTCTTGACTACTCGGGAAGGTACTCGGTGCCATGTGTCTTTGCAGATGTTGATGGAATATACAGCGCAATGCTCCAGACCCTAATGTTAGTGGAGTGACTTTGAAGAGTCCCCAGTAGTGACATGCGCGGCGTCGCTCAAGATAAGAAGATAGCGGGAATGGGATGAGACAGTGTGTGGTCGGATGCGGTCGGCTCAGATATATTGTATGTTCGGTGTATATTCATGTACCGGCTGCAAGATGTCGAAGCAGACAAGAAGCGTACTCTCACCTCTCACCATGACGTATGCGCAAGCGAAGGCGACAGCAGAGACTGAAAGTCGCGTAAGTCAAAAAGCTTGCTCCGTCATCGCACGGATAGCAAACGCTCATAGGCGGGTCGTGCCTGCCTATCTCAAGCTCTCAACACCTTCAACCTGCATCACCCACCACACCATCGCCATGGAACTCGGTATAATCCCCACATCGCCAGGTAAGTTGGAGTGCTTCGGCATCCCGTCGAAACAGTCGCGCATGCTGTACCAGGCATGCGCATCCATATGATATCCGCGACGCTAACAACTGCTGTAGTAGGCAACGAGTACTATGAAGTACGCGCCATTCCCGGAAAAGGCTACGGATGCGTCAGCCTCAAACCCATTCCGCGCGGTACACGCATCCTCGCGGAGGACCCCCTCCTGATCGTCCCGGTCGGCGACTACATGCTCTCCGATGTTCAGAAAGCCTTCGACAGCCTCACCCCTTCGCAACAGACACTCTACTACACACTTCACTCCTCACACGGCCAGGATCCGAATAAATGGCCGTCGCGCATCCACGAATCAGTCCCACCCCAAGAAGTTCTTCGAATCAAGGAACAACACAAAGCGCGAACCGATCCCTCACCAAGTCTGATCAGTATATTCCAGACAAACTGTATGGAGATGAATGCTGGCGCCGCAGTATTCCCGCACGCCGCCCGCTTCAACCACTCTTGCAACCCAAACGCCTGCTTCTCTTGGAACGCCTCCATCGGCAAAGAAACCATCCACGTCATGAATCCCATCGCCGCGGGCGAGGAGATTACGCTATCTTACTGCGACATGATCCACGACAAGTCGCTCCGCGCGTACGAGCTCAAACACTACGGCTTCACCTGCGATTGCCCGGCCTGCAGCGACGATGAAGAGGACGAGACAGCGTTTGGATACCAGAGTGCAGAGCGGCGATTCCGGTTACAAGAGCTGGAGCGTGAGACGAGGTTCTTCCGTGGCGCAAACCTGGAAAAAGGCGCACAGCGAGATGATTTCGTGAAGAAGCTGTTGCAGTTGGCGGCTTTACACAAGGCTGAAGGGGACTTTACCGCCAGACTGGCAAATGTGTAAGTGGCAGTCGGCGTGACTAATCCCAGGCTGGGATTTCGAAAATTCCACAACGGTTGTGGAGGCCATGTCGTCGTCAGAATGGGTTTTGGCTCTTGACGTGTTTGCTAACGTTTGGTCAGATTTCTCGATATTGCGCTAGTCTGTGAGCTCAGGGGAGACCTTGGTATGGCGGAGTTGACTGCGGGCAAGGCTGTGGAGGTCAAGAGGGACTGCCAGGGGGTGGACTTCCCCAACTACAGCAGGTATACTGACGTGCTTCATCGGATCAAGACAAAGGTGGCTTTGAAGGGCTGACGGGAGGTGGGGCTACATGGGGCTCTGGATCGGGAACGGGCGTATGGCGGACTGTATACTATCATAAATTAGGAAGTGCTTCTTAGCAACGGCGATGATAGACAAAATGGAAGCGAAGGATGAAGTGCGAAGCCACCCGTCGTGATGTTGTTCCAAGAATATCGCTAGCGCACCTGCAGCCGCCCCTGCGCGTACCCTGAGACACGGCAAGCCTCACGCCAACACGACTGACGGCTGCCAACGCGTCAAGCCCACCGCATCTTCCTTTATCGCGCAAGCAACCATGCGCAATGCGAAAAAAGAAAGAAGACCTAGCACTGGAAGCGGACGCCGCTATTCCACACAAGCATCACGACTAACACGACAGCGGGAGCTAACAGGCAGGTTTCAACAGGCGCTGACGTCGCTGCGTGTACCTGCGTCTCACAGCGCGTCGCAAGTCTGGCGGTGTTTCGGGTCTTTGTTCAAATATCCAACCCTTCCACACCTCGTGTACTTGCCGACATTCTATACTTGCTAACCGGTAGACTCCATTTACGCCCTTTCGTATCGAGAGTGCTGCGCCCCCCGAGCGATCACCATTTCAGCGGCCCTCTAGCTCCGGCCCAGCTGGCATCCGTGAGCTGAGTAACACCGGACAGAGATACATCACAACATACGCGCCCGACCTCCTGACTCACCTGTTGCAAACTTCCCACCGTCACCATGGAAGAGTCAGATAGCAAGAAGGCCGCCGAGGTGCCTGCGCCCATCGCGACTTCCGCACCGCCGCTGTCAACATCGCAACTTCCCTCACCACCCCACTCACAAACCGGCCACCAGGCTGATCCCAAGCTGTCGGTCGACGCCGCAGACAGTATGACGCCGCCGTTCTCACCGTCAAGCCAAACACCCGTCTTGCAGAAGGAACAGGAGGAGTTTGAGGGCACTGTCGACGTCAACAACGACATCCCCACCGACAAGGACCTGAGCAAGGTGGAGGATCTGCTCGTGTTGGATGCGCAAGGCCAGAGCAGGCCTTTCAAGGAGCTATACAAGGCGCCACATGTCGCCTCGAGACAGCTGATCATCTTCATACGGCATTTCTTCTGCGGCGTAAGTAGTACAATCACACCATACAGACAGAGCTGACACATCCCAGAACTGCCAGGAATACCTGCGAACAATCGCCTCCTCCATCAAACCCGACGACCTCCTCGCGCTGCCCACACCCACCTTCATAACGGTCATCGGCTGCGGGCGCCCCGAACTCATCCCCATGTACACCGAGATCACGGGCTGCCCCTTCCCCATCTACGCCGACCCCACGCGCAAACTGTACGATCATCTCGGCATGACGCGCACCTACAATTTGGGAAGCAAGCCTGAATACATGCAAACCCACGTCCTCATAAACTCCGTCCAATCCATCTTCCAATCTCTCGGCACCGGTCGCAAGGCGCTCAAAGGCGGCGACTTCAAGCAAGTCGGCGGAGAGTTCTTGTTCGAAAACGGAGAATGTACCTGGGCGCACCGGATGAAGACGACACGGGGGCATGCGGAGCTGTCAGAGCTGAGAAGACTGATCGGGCTGGATGACGCGAGGCCACCTGTGAGACGGAAGTGGAGTCATGATGTCAAGGAGGACAGTAAGGGCAAGGAGAGGAAGAGGGCCATGAGCTGGGGAAGACTGCGGAGCAAGAGTAAGGGTGGGAAGGACTTTTCCAGGGATGCGAGCAAGGGGTCGACGCCGGAGAGGATAATGGAGGAGGAGGAGCCGCGGAAGATGGTGGGTAGTCCGACGATATGAGTATACGTGTATGAGGTGTTTGGTGTTTGGTTCAACTTGGCTGCATGGTTCTCCTGGTGTTACTGGTATCTGTCTACTGTGCGTGGTCTTTTCTGTCGGCTCATCCCTACGATATCGGCAAATGAAAGCTCTTCAATTTCAGTCACACGTGCGCCGAACGATATGCTATCGATACAAGTCATCTCAACACCATGAATCGCATTGCTAAAAGCCGTATATATGTACATCACCCTGTCGTATACACCGTCCAGATCCGGCAAGTAGATCCGCCGCGCTCACATGCCGAGACCATGACATAACACCTCACTTTCTCCACAAGTGGCTAAGATGCCCGGCCCACGCACCATCCCAACCAATCACAGCGCAAAATCCAGCATCTAGGCTTGGAGCCGCCAACTCCGAGCCAGCTACGAGTTTGAGCCTCAAGTCGCGAGCGTTACGCGCAGCAGCACCGAGGCGCGTCCGACGAATCGAGGGCGAATGAGGGGCAATGGAGGGGCAGTTATGACGATTACCTATCACTGCGACCAGCCCCACAACGCCTCGTACAAAAGCTACCGGAGCCGCTCGAGCTTTCTGGAGTAGTGTGTTATTTCCCCTCCCGGTGACGGTATTCGTATATATAAGAGCTGGTACTTTGTTACTTCCTCTCGACACACGTTGAAACTCTACCCACGTACTACTGAACCGGGACATTAACGCTACAATGTCTGCTGATACCGTTGGAAAGGTATACTGAACCCCGCTCCTGCATTGCGAGCTGCGCGACGCGTTGAATTGCTGCTGACATTGTTATTCAGACTATTACCTGCAAGGTACGTACCTTTGAGCTTCTGCCTCCTACCGCGAAATCGTCATCGCGTCGTCCTTCATTCTTCTGAGCTTCAGATTCCATCATAAGGCTTGGCATGCGGATCCGCAGAAGATTCGCGATTCGCGATGCGTGATGACGCTGCTGTTACCGGCGAACGCGATCTCGGAAACAACAGCCGACGAATTGACGTCTGACATGACCACAGGCTGCAGTTGCTTGGGAAGCCGGCAAGGACCTCTCCATCGAGGAGATTGAGGTTCTTCCTCCCAGGGCACACGAAGTCCGCATTCAGATCTACTACACTGGTGTCTGCCACACAGATGCCTACACACTCTCCGGCAAGGACCCCGAGGGTGCCTTCCCTATCGTCCTCGGTCACGAAGGTGCCGGATACGTCGAGTCAGTCGGTGAGGGCGTCACCAACGTAAAGCCCGGCGACCACGTCGTTGCCCTCTAGTATGTCCATCCCTTCAAGTACTCCGTTCATATCTAACGTAAACAGCACCCCCGAATGCAAAGAGTGCAAGTTCTGCAAGTCCGGCAAGACCAACCTCTGCGGCAAGATCCGCGCCACACAAGGAAAGGGTGTCATGCCCGACGGTACCTCACGCTTCCGCTGCAAGGGCAAAGACCTCCTCCACTTCATGGGCACATCCACCTTCTCGCAATACACCGTCGTAGCCGACATCTCCGTCGTCGCCATTGAGGAAGACGCGCCCATGGACCGCACCTGCCTGCTCGGCTGCGGAATCACAACCGGATACGGTGCCGCCGTCATCACCGCCGGCAAGAACGGTGTAGAAGAGGGATCCAACGTCGCCGTCTTCGGTGCTGGCTGCGTTGGTCTGTCCGTCATCCAAGGAGCGGCCAAGAACAAGTCTGGCAAGATCATCGTAGTCGATGTCAACGACGCAAAGGAGGAGTGGGCCAAGAAGTTCGGTGCGACACACTTCGTCAACCCAACCAAGCTCGGCAATCAGTCCATCCAGGAGAAGCTCATCGAGATGACCGACGGAGGCTGCGACTACACATTCGACTGCACCGGCAACGTCAACGTCATGCGCGCCGCCCTCGAGGCCTGCCACAAGGGCTGGGGTGAGTCCATCATCATCGGTGTCGCAGCCGCCGGCCAAGAAATCTCCACCCGCCCCTTCCAGCTCGTCACCGGCCGTGTATGGAAGGGCTGCGCATTCGGTGGTGTCAAGGGCCGCACCCAACTTCCCGGCCTCGTCGCGGATTACAAGCGCGGAGACCTCAAGGTCGACGAGTTCATCACCCATCGCCAACCGCTTGACAAGATCAACCAGGCTTTCGGTGACATGAAGGCTGGTGACTGCATTCGTTGCGTCGTCAACATGCGCGAATAACTACGCTCGGGCCCCACGCCTAGGTTGTGATAAGGTTGTGTTTTGAGCGGATTTCTTTCCTTTGTTAGATGTATCTACGACGCGATGCTGGGGATTAGAGAGCATGGCGAGGTGTTGATGATGTAGCATGAGTCGGCGTTGATGTACAAAATGGAATGAGATATGATACCATAAAATCTTTGATGTCTACATGGCTCTCGTTATTATCAGAGATCACATCGAAAAGCTGCATTTCCGAATACATGGTACTATTCCTGTCGATTCCACCCAGTTCCGAAAGGTTTGTAGTCGGTCGGCATGTATCTGGAAATTTCAGTGGCTCACCCCAAAAGCATCGTATCCGGTAGGCATGATTCTAGAAATTCGTTTGGCGGCTTCCAAAAGGTCTGTAGTCCTCAAACATGGTTATGCGGTTTCGCTGGCCTGTCGGGGGTGAGATGTATGCCTCTAGGCAGTTTTGCCGTACCGCGTTGTGAGAGGGCCCGTGCACGCGAGCATATACTTCGAGGTTGCTCCTTCCTTCCTTCTTGAACATCAACGTTTCACTTTCACTCCCCTTTTTTCAAAATTACCAAACGACATGTACATGGCTGCGCTGCCTGTCCCTCCAAGAGGCGTTGGGACGAATCTTTGTCTTCAGCTTTTGGCTCAAAATACTTCAAGTATCTTATCATGTCTGCCTGCTGGCTTCCACTCGAAAACATCACGACCCTTCTATCATGGCTGTCTTCTGGCACCGAAATATCACGAAAGTCATACCATGTCTGCGGCTGTCTCTGCGCCTCTGATACCAACACATCACCAAAGCAACACGAAGGTCTCTACGACATCCGTCGTCTGTGGAAGGCTGACAGATGTATCGATGCCGCTGCGCCTCAACATACCTGTCATTCCGCCTGAATTTCTACAGCGACGTACCAGCATCGAAGAGCTCGAGCTGTGAGTCACGAACGGATGTGGCGGCCTGATGGTGACCCCCACCTTCGCGTCGACGTCTCTCACCACGTCATGCAATGTCTGGTCCGGCGGC